GAAAGAGGAAAGGAAAGGAAAGGAAAGGAAAGGAAAGGAAAGGAAAGGAAAGGAAAGGAAAGGAAAGGAAAGGAAAGGAAAGGAAAGGAAAGGAAAGGATAAAACGAAAGCAAAACAAAACGAACACAAAACAAAAAATAGAAAACGAAAAAAATAAAAAGGAGAACGAAAAACCGGGGTAGGGAGCAAATGGAAAAAATAAAAAGAATTGTGGGAGAGGGAAAAGGAGAAGCAAATGTAAAAGCAGAAGGAATTGCCCGGCTCAGGGAGCTGCCCAGGCCTCCGGTCACAGCCCGCGGCCCCCCCGTGACCCCCGCGGGGTGAATTCCACGCAAAGACACGCGGGGAAAACCACGGGAGGGGGGATCGAGCCAGGGACGAAGGAAGGCGGCGGGCGGGGAGCGCCGTGTCCCGAAAGGGACACACGACGTTGTCACCCTCCCGAGAAACGCCCACGAGCGAATTTCCGAGTCCTGAGTGTCGGGATAAATCCCGGCCGGGGAGGGGGGCTTCCACCGGCGGGGAGGGGGCGCTGGGATGGGAGCGCACCCACAGACACGCGTGGCAGGAGGGCACCCAGGGACACGCCTGGTGGGAAGGCACCCACTGCCCTCCGCGGACACGCGGGGCGGGAATGCAGGAGCGCACCCGCTTCCCGCATCATCCCACGGGGACGAAGCCGACGCCTCTTTCGCCCCCAGGGACGGGGTGTAGCGGGTGGGGGTCGGAGCCGTGCAGGGACCCCAAAAAGCGCCACGGTGGGAGCTCTCCCCCACCCGCGGGCCCTCGCAGGCCTCGTGGGGCGGTCGCGAAGTTTGTGGCGCTGAATCTGGAGCGGGGCCGCGGGGGCTGCGGCCGCGACGTGGGGTCGCAGAGATGAAAGGCCCGAGGGACGGGCTGGGCACCGCCAGCTGCTGCCCAGAGATTTCCCCGTGGGACCCCCCCCTCTTTTGCAGGGTCCCTTGGGGCGAGCAGAGCCAGAGGGAGCCCGGGGCGGCGGGAGCTGCGGCCCCCCCGTCTCCCGGCTGAATAATTAATGGTTCATCTGCGGAAGGGGAGGCGGGATGGGGGGAACTGGGGTGGAAAGAGGAGAAAAGCGGCGGGTGCCATTTATAGGGGCCCGGCGTGGGCATCGATCCGCGACTCACTGACTCGGACTAATCCATCAGATGGACTCCTGCGGCCGGGCGGCCCCGGGCCGGGACTAGGACCGGGACCGGGACCGGGATCAGGATCAAAACTAGGAACAAATAGGAATAAGAATAGGAATAGGAGTAAGAATAGGACCAAGTCTAAAACCAGGACCAGGACTAGGAATAGGACCAGAAATAAGAATGGGAATGGAATCAGGAATAGAACTATGATCAGGACCAGAAATAGGATCAAGACCGGTACCAGCCCTTACCCCGGCCGTGCCCCGCGTCTAACACTCGGTTTTTTTCACTTTTACTGGGAAGGAAAAATTCCTCTCGCTGCCCAGGCGAGGAAAGGTCCCTTCCCTGTTTGCCGGGGGAGGGGGGGTCGGTTTGCAGCCATCCAGACCCATCCAGACCCCTCCAGGCCTCCAGCCCGGGGCGGCCTAAAAGGACGAGCGAGCTCAACCCGCGGCCTCGGTGCGGCTCGGGTTGGGGGGAATTCTCCTGCATCGACAGAGGGGCTCGGGTACGGCCCCCCCAGCGCGACCCCCTCCCCCAGACCCCGCTGATCGGGGCGGCCGGGCCGGGGCTGAGCCCGAGGGGCTGGAACGGGCCCCACGGCCGGGCCCGGGCGGGCGAGACGGCGGCAGGAGCGAAACGAAAGCGGGTCCCAGCGGGGCCGGGCACCGGGAACAAAGCGGCAGGGCCGGGGGGGCGGCTCGGCCCAGCCCCTCCACGAGCCGCGTGGGGCGGCCGGGCCCGCGTGGGGAGCGGGTTCAACACGGGCGGATTCATGGCGGGCGGTGGGGCTGGGGATTTGCTGTGGGGTTTTTCCTGTTTTCACAGAAAGCAAATGAATAAACCCCGTTCCCCGGAAATCTGGGGGGTTAATTCTCGTAAATAATGTGGACATGGCGTCCCTGGCGCCGGGGGAAACGACGCTGGGGAAGAAAAACCATTTTAAGGAGAACTAACCTCCCACGGGGGCGGGAGGAGCGGAGCGGTGGCAGCGGGGACAGGGACAGGGATTCCTGGCCCGGGCTGGGGACCAGGACCCCCCGAGGAGGGCAGAGAACAGGGACCCCTCCGAGCTTCCTCCAGCTACAGCCGCCTTTTTATCATAACCATCACGGTTATATTATTATTATTATTATTGTTATTATTATTATTATGGAATTATTTATTATTATTTCCAATTCTGATGAGGCAGAAGCCCAAGCCCGCTGCTCAATTAGCCCCAACAACGGGGGCATTAAACGGCCGATCGCAGCAGTGTTTAAATCTTTATTTACCAGAACCTTGTAAAGCCAGGAACAATTTGCATTCTATTAACTGCTTTTCAATAGGGCATCGACTGGAACTAAAAGATGCCACTACCCTGCCCTAATTAAAGAGCAACTGAATTACACTAAATACATATGAACGCTGCTCTCCCCCATAAATAACGGCGGGTCCTCGTCGCTGGCTCTGCCCGGCTCCACGGGGAGCTCCGATTTCTTAAAACATAGATTAAAAATCACACACGCGTGTTTTCTCCGCCACGGCTCGGCCCCGTGGAGCCGAGAGCTCCGGGCCTTCCCCGGGGGAGCGGCTCCGTGCCGGGGGTCGTGGGTCGCACCCGGGCATGTCCCCGCTCGCCGTTGACCCCTCTGTCCCCCTCCCTCCGGCCTTTTCCCCCGCGACCCCCGCCCTCCCTCCGCGCAGAAAAGCCGCGTTTCTCCAGAGAAGCCTCGGCCCAGCGCCGGCCCGAGGCCGCGGGGATCGGCGCTGCGGGATCCCGACCCCGCCGGGACGCGGAGACACGGGGTGAGGGGTCCCGTCCCTTCTGCCGAGGGCAGCCGGTGCCCGGAGGGAGCGGAGCGCGGCCCCGGAGGGGTGGCCCGGAGCTGCCCCGGAGCGCGGCCCCGGTACCGACCGCCGAGGAGCTCCAGCAGCGGCCCCGGGGGCCGGACACTCCCGGGGCCAAGCGGCCGGTTCGGCGGGACCGAGAGGGAAATGCCCGAGGCGGGTGGACCGGGGAGCGGCGGCAGCTCCCGGCTCCCGCCGCCCGCGATCCCGCACCTCTGGCGGGCAGCAGCAGGCCCGGGGAGCCGGGGGGTCGCCGTAGATATAACTCGCCTTAAATCTAAATCCCTTTCCTTTGGTCTTAATGTTACAAACCGGGTCGGTAACACCCGGCCGAGCCCGACCCCAGTTCGCAGCCCGAAACCCTCGAGGGGTTCCCACGCGGGTTTGGCAGCACCCCCTGATCCCCCCGCCCCGAGGCGCGGAGCGGGCGGCCCGAGCCGAGCCGTGCCGTGTCCTACCTGCCAGCCTGAGCGCCGACATCCTCTGAAATTCCGGCTCCTGCAACCATTTCCACATCCTGCGGAAAGTCTCCCGGCCGGACTTGAGCTTACTCCAGGGCTTGGGGTTCCGCAGCAGGTCCGAGAGGGTCCCCTGGGAGCGGCACAAGATCCTCTGAGCGAAGATGGCCTGCGGGATGCTGTACCGCTTCAGCTCGGCCGTGATCCGCTGAGCCACCTCCTTGGTGTTGATCTCCTCCACCTGCCCGGAGCCGCCGGGCTGGGAGCCGGGGCCGGGCGCGGGGCGCTCCCGCTCTCCCAGCAGCGATGCTCCGGGCTGGCCGTGCGGGTGGCCGTGCGGGTGCATCCCGTTGAGCGGCGGCATCATGGCCGAGCTGGGCGCCGCCAGCCCCCGCGCCAGGTGCTCCTCGCCCCGGGACAGCATCGCGGCGTGCGAGTCGAAGCCGTTGGGCGAGAGCATCTTCTCGTTGGGCAAGTGGCCGGCGGGGCCGTAAGGGGCCAGCGGCTGCTGGGCGTTGTGGAGGCTGCCCAGCCCGTTGGGCAGCGGCGACAGGGGCTGCCCCATGGCCGGCATGTCCTTGGGGTAGTGGCTGTAGAGGTTGCCCATGGAGGCCAAGCTCCGCTCGTCGCGCATGAGGGTGAAGCTGCCGCTGACGTTGCCGGCCAGGCGCTGGTGCGGGTGGTGGTGGTGGTGGTGGTGGTGCGGGTGGTGGAACTTCTCCGAGACGGTGGAGATGGGCGGCAGGTGCTGCAGGGGGGTCAGCGTGGTGTAGGTGCTGCTCAGGCTCATGCCGGAGGGCGACTCGCAGGACATGCTCATGGCGGGGTGCAGCGGGGCGCCCAGGCTGTGCTCGCCGCGGTAATCGCCCCCCTCCAGGATGGAGGCCATGCCCGAGACCATGGCGGGCCGCCCGTGCGGCACCAGGTTGCGGTGCGAGCTCTGCCGCCCGTGCGCGGGGCTCAGCAGCTCGGCGGGCTGCGAGTGCGGGACGCCGTGCAGGCTGCCCAGGTTCTCCATCGCCAGCTCCATGGTGGCCGCCGGGCTCTGCCGCTGCCTCGCCCGCTCGCTCGCTGCCTTCCTCCCCCACCCCCCCGCCGCCGCCGCCGCCGCCTCCTCCTCCTCCTCCTCCACCGCCGCCCCCCCTCCCCGCGCCGGCTGCCCGGATTAATTCAGACTCCGCGCCCGGGGGGATCGATGTCCGCGCCCCGCGGTCAGGCCGGCATGGTGCGCCCGCCGGCCGCGCTGCTGGGCGCGGGGCTCGGCGGAGCGGGGGCTCGGCGG